TGATAGTTAAGGTTATGTGTCAACTTGGCTGGGCCTGGATTTGAGTGGTTGGGCAGCTGGTTGTAGTTCTTCCCCATGATGAAACTAGCAATAAACTCCATGGTGGAACCTGCCATGAGTAGCTGAGTAGCTGCTTTAGGGATGTGGTCTGCTTCCAGTATATAAGCAGAAGCTTTGGGAATGTCTGCAGCTTTTTGGCACATTTGGACCCTGCATGTAGCCGAGTCTTCATATGGCATCGTGCCATGTTTCCTACTGATCTTGGACTGTCTCTCAACTTGAACTAGTGGCCTGCCATGTTGTTTGGTAATATCAGGACTGTGCCATTTTATTTGTCTTCCTTGGGCTTGTTAGCCTCAGCATCAGCAGCTGCCTGAACAGAGAGACATCTCTAGCTCCAGTGGGCCAGGAGCAAGAGGCAGAGCTAAAGACCAAGGTCAAAGGCCTTTCACTCAGCCCCTAGAGCTTGGCACTTTGAACTCAGACTAGCCTCTAAAACTGTAAGAGGATAAACTCCTGTTTGTTAAAGCCATCCATCTGTGATATTTCTGTTAGAGTGGCATGAAGTAACCAAAACAACATTATTAAATGCAAGTTATGTACCAAAATCCAGAGCACAAAGCAAGAATTCTAAAAAATTAACTGTTGTCTTCCCTCATGCTATATAATAATGACATTACCGTGGCTTTTAGTCTACATTTTCATGTTTCTCATTTAATTGATTTGTTAGCTTAATATAAAAGCAAAATAAACAGTTATTGACTGAGAGGTTGGATTGGGGGCACTATTCCTTAATCTGTTAGTTATGTTTACTTCTCTTTCTTTCTGCAGGTGGCAGATGGTGTGTAGTCCATGGCAGAATTCTCCCTGCAGAAACAGAGGGTTGGGTTCGCCTGCAGTTCCATGCAGGTCAAGTCTGGGTGCCAGACACTCCCAAGAGCATGATCTCTCTCTTTCTGTTACCGGCTTGCATTTTCCCATCCCCAGACCTAGAAGATAATATGTTGTGTCCTGAATGTGCTAAGAGGTAACCCTGAAATGTCTTTCTAAGCATAACACATAGAAAAATAGATGTCCAGGTGGGTATCTGACATACATAAATAATTTAGTAAAGAAATACATTTAGTAAAGGAATTTAGTAAGGGAAACATGCCCTTCTTAAATTAGCCATGTAGATGAGACAAGAAATAGGAAGTGAAAAGATCTTGGTAGAGGATTGAAACTCAGACATACTTATGGTTAGTCTCAGGGTGTTATAAACAGTTCATGTCCAGTGCTTGACTGTTAACCAGAAGGTTGAGAAGTTTGAGTCTACCCAGAGGCACTTCAAAAGAAAGACCTAATGTTCTACTTCAAATAATTAGTCATTGAAAAACCCTACTGGAGGACAGTTCTACTCTGACACACATGAGTCCACCATGAAACAGAATCGACTCAGCAACCATTGGTACTGGTATATATGTGGTTACTTCTTAGCAGTCTTAAAGAATCTTAACATATTAGGACCTTAGCTCTACCTCAATTTTAGAGAAACCTGTTTTAGTTTCTTAGTGCTCCTGTAAAAGAAGTCCTAAAAGTGGGTGATGTTAACAAACAGAAATGCATTCTCATAGTTTGTTGTTGTTGTTTTTAGGTGCCGTTAAGTTGGCTCCAACTTATAAAGACCCTATAGGTACAACAGAACGAAACACTGCCTGTTCTTGAACCATCCTCACAATCTTAGCTGTGCTTGAGTCCATTGTTGCAACCACTAAGTTAATCGATCTCATTGTGGGTCTTCCTCTTTTTTGCTAACCAGGCATGATCTCCTTCTCTAGGGACTGGTTCATTCTGACATGATCAAAACATGTGAGACAAAGTCTGGCCATTCTCACTTCTAAGGAGCAATCTGGCTGAACATCTTCCAGGACAGATTCATTGGTTCTTCTGGCAGTCTGTGGTATTTTCAGTATTCTTTGCCAACATAATAATTCAATCATTCTTCTTCAGTCTTCCTTATTCATTGTCCAGCTTTCACATGAGACTATTGAAAATACCATGGCTTGGTTAGGTGTACCCTAGTCTTCAAAGTGACATCTTTGCTCTTTTATCACTTTAAAGAGGTCTTTTGCAGCACATCTGCCCAGTTCAATATGTCTTCTGATTTCTTGATGGCTGTTTGCATGAGTGTTGATTGTGGATCCAAGTAAAATGAATTCTCTGACAACTTCAGTCTTTTCTCCATTTATCATGATGCCACTTATTGGTCCAGTTATGAGCATTTTAATTTTTGTTGAGGTCTGATCCATAGTGAAGGCTGTAGTTTTTTATATTTGTCAGTAAATGCTTCAAGTCATCTTTGTTTTCAGAAAGCTAGATTGTGATCTGGATATTGCAGGTTGTTAATGTTGCTCCAGTCTTGATGTGGCATCTTCTCCATGTTGCCCAGCTTCCTAGATTATTTGCTTAGCCTACAGATTGAATAAGTGTGGTGAAAGGTTACAACCCTGACACATTCCTTTCCTAATTTCAAACTGCACAGCATCCCTTGTTCTGTTCAAATGACTGCCTCTTGGTCTATGTATAGGTTCCTCACGAGCACAATTACGTGTTCTGGAATTCACATTCTTCATAATGTTATCCATAATTTGCTATGATGCACAAAGTTGAAGCCTTTACAAAAGCTGTAAAACACAGGTGATCATCTTTCTAGTATTCTTTGCTTTCAGCCAACATCTATCTGATGGCTCATGGTTTAGGAGGCCAGAAGTCCGAATTCAGGGCAATGGCGCTAGGGGAAAGCTCCTTCTGTCTGCTCTGGGGAAAAATCCTTGTTTCAGCTTCTTTAGTCTAGCATTCCCTGGAGATTACTTTACCCTATTTGTGCTTGCTCACTGTGTTTACTTTGTTCTTTTTACATCTTAAAAGTTATGAGGTTTAAGACACACCTTGCACTGAGTTGGCCTCATTATCATAACAAGGAAAACCCTATTCCCACATGGGATTTCATTCACAGGCATAAGGATTAATATTCCAATATATATTTTGGGAGGATGCAGTTCAATCCATAACACCTATGTTAAAGGGAAAGAAAAAAGCTAAACAAACAAAAACCATATTAAAAATTCTTACTATATGTCAGATACCCACCTGGGGATACAAAGATTAGTAAGATAAAATCTGCGCAACATGCCTAAATGGAAATAAGTAAGAGATGCTATGAAAACATATGTCAAGCACCTATATTGGAGTAGCTTAGGGAAAATTTAGAGGAGATTACATGAACTAAAGAAGAGTTTACGAGTTGGAAAAGTAATCATTTTTGTATATCAGTAGTGGGAACAGCCCATGCATGTGGAAATGAAAGGTTTACCATATTTAGAAACCGCAGATAGGTCAGTATGATTGATGCTTATATTGAGAAATAAGTTTCAGGAGAAGAGAAGCAGATCATGAAGGGTTTTATACCTATGGCAAAGGTCTCAGATATTATCCTGTAGGTCATTATTTTTCTGTCACTTTTGGGACACTTTTTGAGAATATAATGATAACCATGTACTCTCTTCTCAGAAAAGTATACACTGGGCATAAATACTTACACTGTGTTGGATTTCATATAAACTATGAGTCCTTGGGTAGTGAAAACAGTTAAGTGCTCAACTGCTAGCTGAAATGTTGGCAGTCAAACCTATCCAGAGGTGCATTGAAGACACAGGCCTGGCAATCTACTTCCAAAAGGTCACAGTCTTGAAAACCTTATGGAGCAGTTCTACTCTGCACAAAATGGGGTTACCATGAATCCACATTGATTGGATGGCAACTGACAACAACAACAACACAGAACTCCTATTGTCCATTCACGAGTACTAAATTCAGCTTAGGTGAGGAAGTTGGCTGGAAAGTGTGAGAAAGACATGGAGGTAGAGTATTAAAGTTTTATTGTAGAAAGTAAACTGAAATTTTGCAACAGACCAGATTAGGGAGTAGATGAGAGATTATTATAATTCAGGAAAGATAACAAAAAATTTAAAGAGGAATGGAATAAATTCAAGAGATGAGGGAGTAAAGGAAGCATAATACTGTCTTAGAAGGTAGAAGAGGGGAAGAATATGTGATACTTGGTACATACTCAGACATAGATCATGAGGTCTGAGAAAAGTATATTGTTATGTTATTGTTAACAACAATACTTTTAGATTAGAGATAAACAACTTTTGGGAATCATTACCATATAAACTGAGTAAGAAAAAAGGCTGTGGACAGAACTCTAAATTGAATCAGAAGAGGTGGGCAATGGAGACAGCAAAAGTATAGTTAGATGTGAGCTTCTATTAAGGGTGATGGAAAAATCTGGAAACATAACTGTGATTGTTGAACAACATGATAATCATTATTAATGTCATTGAACTGTACATGTAAAAAGTATTGAAATGGTAAATATATATATATATATA